CAGCTAAATGATGAGAGAAAAAACTTTTAAAAATTTCAAAGTATATCTTGACTAAGTACATATGTAGTATCACTAATCCATAGGCATGATTTGTTTTCACTATTTCACTAGGAATGACATATTTGAAGACTTAGGGGAAAAATTCATGTTATTTTAAAGACCATAATAAGGTAACCAATGTGTTTGTTTTTAAGTACAAAGCTACACGATGGGCTATCTGTGCTGAGCAGAGGCATCACTAGGTGCTTAAAAGATTCAGGGCTCAGGTCCAAAGCCCCCCCCCCAATAATGATGCCTCTAGTGCTGTGCCCACCACAGGTATTGAAACCCAGTTTTTAGCACTATTAATTGATCTTTTCTTGGAAGGGAGCCATGGGCCTGTAGTGTGTCAACCAACTTACCATGCCAATGAGTGGTTGTAAGCTCTATCAGGTGGTCCACAAAATTAGCTGATTCAGCTGGATCTATTCCCAAGAACAGAGACAGGCTGATGTGGGTTGACATTTTTTTAAAATGCTTATAAACATCTATTGGTTTGCTAGAAAAAAGAACAGAAGTACTGAGCAACTAAAACCTGTAAGTTTAATTTGAAATATGGAAATATTATTCATATATAAAAAAAAAACTCTTTGTATAACTGTACAAACTTTGTGAGCATATCTATGTTGAAAATCAGATATACTTTAACTTTATCCAAAAAGTTATTCTGAAGAAAATATATAAAGATTTCCAGCACTATAGTCAAGTCACAGTCATTCTTAACTTTATTAAATATAATTGCCAGAGACCCATATATGGCCACCCTCTAAAACACTGCCATGGGCATGTATATGGGAAACACTATACAACCTTTAGCTTAGCTTGAAAATAGTGATATTAAATATATACGAGTTTGGACATTGGTACCACCATGAAGAAAGATTATAACCTTTCAAACTTCCCAAAGTTTACCAGCTGGAATTTTCAGATAAATAATGAAAATATGAGTCTTTCTATTTTTCATTATATATTTAAAATTAATGAACACGGAGAGAGACTGCTTATCTATAAATATGGCAGTGAAAGAATTAATTGCTTTTTAAGACAACTGATGCAGGCATATAGCAACCATTGAAAAAACTGAGGTAGCTGTCTCTGTAAAAATTTTCTGTTATGATGCCACTCAGCACCTCACACCAACATCACTCAGATGTGAATGTCTATACTCTCATTTCATGTCACTTGTAGGCCACAACAAGAAGGCCATACTTCTTGAAAGTGTGGTGTAGCCATTTAAGAAAATAAGAATTTGGTTTTTGCCTCGGTAAAACTCTACTCCTACTTATGTCACTGTAAGATAGTTTTTTTTCTTTACACCATTTATTATCATTATGTATGAGAACTACAACCATTTTATTAATACTCTGAAGGCAATTTATTAATATTTTATAATCACCTTATGTGATTATGGCTACTCAAACGTAATACAAAAACCCTACATCTAGGTGACTGTTGATTTATGATAAATCCTTAGAAAGGTAAAGTATAATGCATGTGTATTTTTGGCCATAACCAGTTATTGAAGTGTAAAAATCAACCTTACTCGTCTTTTGAAAATTTAATAACTGGTGTTGCATTTATGCTATAATATTTTCTTTTTTAAACCAATAAATGTATTTTTTTACAGACATGTTTGTAGATGTTCTGCAAAATGATAAATTCTTCAGTTATCATAGAATGTTGTCATTTTCCTTGCTTGCCATATTATTCAGTATTATAATGTCCAAAGTTTGTGGTAAGGATGGTTAATTAATGTTACTGAGTTGTCTGTTAAAACAAATTTCTAGAATTACAAATAATTTATAAGTACTATAGAACCATTTTCTGAAAAGGATAAGTATGCAAAAAAAATGAGCAAATGGAGAACAAGAAACATTTAGTATATAAATACGTAACAGTACCAACTGAGATGGATAACATTCAGGATAAACATAAATACTTAATATTAAAATATCAGTTTTATTGCTTCACCAGGTTCTTTTGGTATTTAACACTGTATGTACCATAAAGTACAATAAATCTTGATGCATTGACAGTGTTCATGCATATAGTACCTTGTTTCAAGTTTATCCATCCAATTGTCCATAATTTTCTCCAAGAAAGTTGTGTATGTGTTTCCATGATCTCTAGTCATGAGAGATTCCAGTACTGCACGTACAGGTTTTGATTCTTCACCTAAAACAAAATAACAAATCAGACTCAAACATAAAAAATAATACAAAATATCACACAATTGTATATAAACCTTTCCTTGGTTTATGTAATATACATTTTTATTCTATACAGTATTCTATAATGAATTACAGGTGCGATCCAAATAAACCCCCTGATCCTAATTCAATATCTTTCTTTAACAGTAGATTATTTTTCATGGTATAAATCTTTTTCTAAGAAATTTAAAAATTAATTTTCTATTTGACCACTTGTAATTTCATCTTCTAAAATACTCAAAGAGAGAGGATGATAACTCAAAGTTTTATCTAATTCCTTAAATTATAACAAATAAACACAAAATAAGAATTAGAACAATACCATTTGTTAACACAGATTGATCTCTTGATGATGCTGTCAGTTTGACATTTTTATATTATGTGCTTATAGTTGTATGAATGTTTCCAGAACAGTAAGTAAATATCAAAAACAGAGAACCCCACAAATAGAAACACTGACTTATTAAGACATTATGCACATGAACAGAAATTAAACTCTTTAACACTTTCTAACTATGCAGTGGTCTTTATGTTTTTAAGGTAATGTAATATACATATACTTCCTTACCAGATAAAAACAGCAAAACATCACCATAAATTTCATAGAAAAATTCTTTATACCCCATTTCAAAATTTCCTTCTTTATCTAAAAATAAAAGGAAACAAAATTAACATTTGACATGTATATATAAATACTCTTGAAAAACTGAGATTTAACTTTTCAATCTTCCATAAAAATTTCACTGGCAAGCACTATAGAGATTAAGAATATCATACTAATTCGATGACGAGGAACCCACTTTGATATAAGTTTAACACAACAGCAAATGTACAATTTTCTTGACAAGGTTTTGTCATTATCAGGTACAAGTAGTTTACACTGACACAGGTATATATATATATATACAGTATGGAACAAAGAACATTACACTGCAGTTTACCTTTTGTCCCTGAAACCAGCTCAAGAATTATCCACACTTGGACAAAACTAGCCATTAAACACAATATTCCTGTCAATGTCAAATTCTCTCAAAAACCTGGCCCTAAATTAAAATTATTACTAAAAAAATTATTTAGAATCACACAATACCAACGTCATTTACAAAATAACATGCAATAACTGCCCAGAATTCTACATCGAAGAAACAGGAAGAAAATTGGAAACCAGATTCCCATAACACAATAAAAAACCGTCCCATGTTTTCCACCATTGCAACTCAAAAAACCATAGTATATCTATTAAAAACATAGCAATTTTAAACAAAGAACCAAACATAAACAAATAAAAAATCGAGAAATCCATCTTAATTGAACAAAACAACCCTACTCTAAACCAACACCCTGGGGTGCCAAGATATCTCTTCTAAGT